TGCAGATTTGGATGAGCAGCAGTACTCTTGTCTCAGATGAACAAAAATATTTCAGATCTGCCCACACAACTGATCTGGAACTTTTATGTCATGATTTAAAAAAAAAAAGAGAGAGGGGCCGCCTGGGTGGCTCAGTCGGTTAAGCGTCTGCCTTTGGCTCAGGTCATGATCCCAGGGTCCTGGGATTGAGTCCTGAGTCAGGCTCCCTGCTCAGGGGGGGAACCTGCTTCTCCCTCTCCCTCTGCAGCTCCCCCTGCTTGTGCTCTCTGTCAAATAATTAAATAAAATCTTAAAAAATAAATAAATACATTTTTAAAAAAAGAAGAAGAAGACAGTGAAATCAGCCTCTTCTTCCTCCTCCGATCACCTTTTAACTCTATTTGCTAAGGTGGACTCCAGGAGAAAAAGAAAAGGGGTTGGAGCTTGCGGGGGTGGGCACCTCAGATCTGTCCCCAGACTCTCTAGAGGAGGGGAGGCTGTTCTGTGTCTCCTCCCTCCCCCTCCCCTTCTTTCCTCCAGCAACACCTCCCCTAGCCACACTGCCGCCACCGGAAACTAAAAAGCCATGTGTCACGGACCCACTGCCGACCACACTGAAAATGCAGCACACCCAAGCACACTCCCCAACACCAAGCACCGGCTCACTGCCCGTGGTGTTCGATGCAAACCCGTACTATTCATAGTGTTCCAAACTTTTGTAGAATATATGCATTTAGATCTTTTCAGGTTGGGGGTGATGGGTAGTTTGGCAAAGCAAACACCATAACTGGTTTCTTATATAACCCTACAGTTGGCAGCGAGGCAGCGTGCATTGAAATGAAGCAACGCTCATTCATCCAAGAAGGCTTTGCTTTTCCTTTTTTGGAGGGATAAATGCTCTGGTTTGTTTTTTCTCCGTGGCATATATTCATTTTATTATTGGCTGGCTTTAATGATTCTTTGAAGTTAATCTTTACGTGTGAATGGCAGGGTTCTGTTTAAGTTTTGGAAGCTTCCGGAGGAGGTGTCTCTGTATGCCTCTAGACTAGAGAATGCTTTTATAAGTAACTGGAGTGCTTTTAGGTGACACTGAAATTGGGGAGACTGGGAAGGACCTGGGACCCAGGCTGCCATAGGGATCAACGCTGGTCAAGTGCTTAGAATTTCGGAGTTGCAGCCTTTGGAAAGAACTAGCATCCTGCCATCCCAGTAGCTTCTCCACACCAGACATCGCACCTGGAAAAGGGGCCAGCTGAACTAACTTTTCAGCGTAGCATACGTTCTTTCCATTTCTTCTTCCTTTTCTATTAAAACAACAACAACAACAAACTTTGTCTACGTGTCTCAAAGCAAGACAACTGCCTGCAAAGTTTCCTTTCTCAACTTCAGAGCTGAGATTCTCTAAAATGTTTTTGTATCTTTTTCGGAATCCAATAGCCGTTAGAAAATGATCAAAGGGTTGCATATTCCTAGTTCCGAAATTACTACTAATAAAGTTTTCCAATGAAAAATCCCAGGATTGCTTGAGGATCTCTTCCCACGTTCCCACTGTGGAATACAAGCGGGAATTGGGACACTCATCCAGTAAAGTTCAATTGGGGGGGGGAAAGCCATATTTCAAAATGAATTCCACTTTTTTCTTTAAAAACAGAGTTCACTGACCAAGAACGATTTCAAAATGTTTTCTCTAATACCCCAACATGAAACTTTGAGGTTTTCAGAGAATTACAGGGATCAAACGAGTTGGGACTTGGGTTTCCAGGTTTCCCAAAGGCTCGAAACTCCCCTAGAGGCTAATTGCTGTTTACTGCGGAGACCTTCCTCATTTTTCTACGGTAACATTTTCCATCTCAAGAAGGGTCGTCCCATTCAGCCTAGGAGCATGGTGTCTGAGTGGCTGAATGGAATTGCTACCAATGGAAAGTATGCTGCAAGAGGCGTTGATAAAGCAGCTGCAAGGCAAACCTTGGCTGTTTTTTCCATCCTCCCCAAGCAAAGTTAATTAGCATAGGGAAAATGACTAAGGTGTTGACGTCATCTCTTTCCAGTAGAAACTTACACTGTCTCCGTCGGCCTGAAAGCATGCAGGACTTGACTCAGGAATTTGCTGTCCAAACAGGATGCTCTGGAAGCTGTGCTTTTTTTTTCCCAGGGGGCTGGACTTCAGTGCTTTATAAAGGGCTGGCCGGAGAAAGGACCTACAGCCTCTTGCAAAGGAATCTCATTTGGGTCCTGACTGCCTCAGCTGCTAGTCCTCTCACTGTGAGAAAGCAAGATGCACTTTAGAAACTTTAACTACAGTTTTAGCTCCCTGATTGCCTGTGTGGCAAACAGTGATCTCTTCAACGAAAGTGAAACCAGGGTAAGGCTTCTAATGTAATGTGATTTTTGAGAGTTTTCAGAGCATTATGTTAATTGGGACTATTAACTGAAATATTTGCAGGGTGTTATGTGGCTGTCTTGTGGGTTTGGGGGTTTTGGAATAAATCCAAAATACTTGGAGCTTTATCAGTCAAAAGCCGTTGCCTGAGGACTTAACCGTGAAGGAATTTTTGAAGCTTTCAATATTTGAAAACATCCAGGTCCCTTGATCAACTGGAAACGCAACTGGTTTTAACACGGTATTTTTCGTCCTGTGTAGGTCGCAGTAAACTTTTAGAGGGAAGCTTTTTCTGACAGTGAATGGAGCTTTTCACTTTGACATCTAGAGACCAGAATAATTTTATCTTAGGAAATAAATATCATAAAGATGTGTGTATGTTTGTAGTAATTACAAGGGCCTGTCCTCAAGTTTTCAGATTTCTTTAGGGAAAATGAGGCCATAGCAAGTAATAAAACTGGATAAATAACTTAAGTGGGGGATAAGTGTACCTCCTGGGAAGCAGCTCTCATTGATGGTAATTAGTATAATTAGTAATTTTAATTACTGTGCTTTTCTTCATTTGATTAAGATGTAAGATTTCCATCACTAGCTACCCAGCTGTCTAATTGATCTTGAACAGTACTGTATATGAATGAATTCTGTGTGTTCTGTTTTGGGGATGGTATTCGTGTGATAAGCTTTATACTCAATGCCATATTGGAGCCTGTGAAAAAACTGTTGTTTTGTTGTTTTTAAATCAAATGTAACTCCATAATTGCGTATGATACTTTTGAGCCAGGACTGGTCTTTTTTTGAACTAGATATCAGAGCACATTCTACGTATGAAAGTACTACAAAATCTATGTATTTCGTATTAGCCTTATATGAGTCAAAATCAGTATTTAATTAATTAGAGATGCCATCCAACAACTGTAATAACCAGATACCAATTATTAGAACCAATAAGGTTATTTTATTGGAGAATGGTATCACAGTAATATGGATTTAACAGATATTGTGCCTTCTCTTGTGTTCTGGTCCTGAGCCCTGACTTGTATTCTAAAAATATTCCTCCAAGTCCTCTCCCCCTAAATTCTGAATCATAACGTCAAAACTAAGCAGTTGGTCACAATGCCTATTGATGAGGTCATGCAAAATTCCAAATTTATGCCCATACGCTGTGCCAGAAACTTGCCCGTCCTCATGCTCCAGAGAGGTGGAGAAAAAACCACACGCAGCCAGATAAAATCCTCCGCGAAGCATCTGCTATGCATTGTTCTCATTCTTTGCCTCTGCAAAACCCCTCAGAACTGTTCATAAACTAAAGAAAAGCCACGGAATTCAAAGAGAGGAAGTGTTCCCACCCACCACCACCCCCCTAACAACCTGCCCAGTGGAGGCAGGCTGACCACTGGCCCCACGAGCTGGAACACAGGTCCTGTCCTGCCTAGGGAGCGCCTTGGCTCCGGACATCCCATTCCCTCACCTCTGTCTAGCGCCGAAGAGTCTTGAAAATGCTCTCCCCTCTTATACACCATCCTCTCGCCGCCCCTCTGCAGAAACCGTGCTTTCCATAGGTTTCCGAGGTGCTCGGTGGGCCCCACCCACCTCCCCTTCTGCATGGATCCCGTTTATTAGAAGGCACGCCGCCCCCACCGGACCTTCAGCCAGCCCTTTTCTGCCTTACACAGAATTCCCACAACCTGTCCTCAGTGTTCAGTCTGGAAAAAAAGACTCGGAAAGCACGACGATTCAAAGTCCATACAATCTTTCTGGAAGTTTCGGCTGTCAACTCCCTCTCTGGTTGGAACCCTGAGGCCTTGCACTAGCTTCCCAGCTCCCCCCACACCCTCTCGCTGACGCCCCCTCCCCCTCCTGGACCCAGCCCAGCAGGGGGCGCTCTCCAAAGAGCTTTTCCCAGAAGGCTAATGAGCTCCCTCCTGAATGGAAGCCTAATAACACCCTCGAACTTAGGCATTTCCATTCTAAGAGCTCATGCTGTTTCTTAATTTTCACTAGCCTTTATAACACTAGAGCTAGAAATGTACATATATTAAAGCCAGCATGCAGAAATGGGTCCATTTGCAGTACATTAATTTTTAAACCAGTATTCTTTTAAAAGAGAGTTAAAAAGTAACAGACCAAGTGGGAAAACAATAGGGGGATGTCTTCTTAAACCTCTTCCTTTACACTAAGAAATGCAAGGTTTCTTTTAACTTCATTGTTTCCCAGTGCAATAAAAAAAATTTTTTTTTCCAAATGAGCTCCAGTGTTCTTAAGCCCTAAAGAAATATCTGCTGCACACAGCAACACCTAAAACTGAGCAGTAGGATCAGAGTTCACGGGCCTGGGGAAGGTTGTTGGACGTTAGGAACTGTCCTTTCCACTTTAAAAAGACTGTTTCTGTGACTATTAAGAGGTGGTTAAGTATTGGTACTTGTTCTGCTCATTCAGTGAATTTAATAAAATCACCTGTCTTAGACTTAAAAGGGCAGAAAGAGCAAATCTTCAGAGGGTGGCTCTCTGTCCCCTCTAAGAAAGGAGTTGGGTGTTCTCGAAATGATACTAGTTCACTTCCTCAAGAAGAAACGCAGTGGAGTTGTCAAGACTGCTACGCAGGTATGTTCTAACTCCTTTTATTTTTGTTGTTACTTTTCAGGCCAAATTTGAATCCCTCTTTAGGACATACGACAAGGATATCACCTTTCAGTATTTTAAGAGCTTCAAACGAGTCCGAATAAACTTCAGCAACCCCTTATCTGCGGCAGATGCCAGGCTCCAACTGCATAAGACTGAATTTCTCGGAAAGGAAATGAAATTATATTTTGCCCAGGTGAGTTGAATCCATTGATACGCATGCTTCTCCCTCTCCCCCCTTTTAAAAGTAGCTTACAGGGGTGGCTCAGTTGGTTAAGCAACTGCCTTCGGCTCAGGTCATGATCCTGGAGTCCTGGGATCGAGTCCCACATCAGGCTTCCTGCTCAGCAGGGAGTCTGCTTCTCCCTCTGACCCTCTTCCCTCTCGTGCTCTCTGGCTCTCATTCTCTCTCTCTCAAATAAATAAATAAAATCTTAAAAAAAAAAAAAGTAGCTTATACATTGATTATGCTATACCTTGATTTTTTTAATGCATATACATTTGGACTGCAATATTGGAATTACAAAGTATATCCTATTCCATACCCTTCCTTCATGCATCATTATCCATGACCATTTTATTGCCACATGAAAATGTGTTTAAAAAGATCATTATATGGGGGCGCCTGGGTGGCTCAGTCGTTAAGCGTCTGCCTTTGGCTCAGGTCATGATCCCGGGGTCCTGGGATCAAGCACCGGGGTCCTGGGATCAAGTACCGCATGGGGCTCCCTGCTCAGCGGGGAGCCTGCTTCTCCCTCTGCCTCTCCCTCGCCCTCTGCTTGTGTTCCCTCTCTCGCTGTGTCTCTGTCAAATAAATAAATCTTTAAAAAAAATCATTATATATATTACTTAGCCATCAGAAAGGATGAATATTACTCATTCATCAGAAAGGATGAATACTTACCATTTTCATCAACATGGTTGGAACTGGAGGGGATTATGCTGAGTGAAATCAGTCAATCAGAGAAAAACAATTACATGGTTTCACTCATATGTGGAATATAAGAAACAGCGCAGAGGATCATAGGGGAAGGGAGAGAAAAGTGGATGGGAAGTCATCAGAGAGGGAGACAAACCATGAGAGACTTAATTGTAGGAAACAAACTGAGGGTTGCTGGAGGGGGGTGAGGGGATGGGGTAACTGGGTGCTAGGCATTAGGGAGGGCACGTGATGTGATGAGCCCTGGGTGTTAATGCGCAACTGATGAATTAGTGTTCAATAATGCCAAAATTAATGTACTATATGTTGGCTAATTGAATTTAAATTAAAAAGAAATATCATTATAACAGGCACATAATATTGTGCCATATAGATATTTCAAACATATTTAACCAGTCTTTACTCTCAGACATTTATCTTGTTTTCCAATTTTTCACTATCATAGATGATGCTTCCGGGAACATTCCTGCATCTGCACCCTTTTTTAAAGCATGTTTATTTTGTCATTTGAATGACGAAAGCAACACAAGTTAACTGAAACAATCCAAGTACAACACAAAAGTCCCTAAAGTTAATTAGATAGGTTTCTCCACTCTCTTTCCAAAGCCTTCCCCCTAATGTAACCACCTTTGAAAATCTAGTGTGAATCCTTACACATTCTCCCCTTCACATATACAAAGACACAAACACAGAGTAGGAGTCCATTTTCTTGCACAAAACAATGGAGTCACTCTCGCCTTCTCTTTTACTTAGCAAGGGTATGATGGACAACCTTCCCAGTCAATATGTACCTTATGTGTTGATTTAAAACTCCGCGGCACCCGGGTGGCTCAGTCGTTAAGCGTCTGCCTTTGGCTCAGGTCATGATCCCAGGGTCCTGGGATCGAGCCCTGCATGGGGCTCCCTGCTCGGCGGGAGGCCGGCTTCTCCCTCTCCCACTCCCCCTGCTTGTGTTCCTGCTCTCGCTCTCTGTCAAATAAATAAATAAAATCTTTAAAAAAAAGAAATTTAAAACTCTAAAGTTTTGAGAAAGGCGAAGTTCATACTCTAAATTTTCGGTGCCTCGCCTTTAAGAAAACATCAGCATGTGTTTGAAAGCAAGTGATCTCAGAAATGGCCCCTGACCTTGGTTTGAGGAACTCTGGGAGAACCTTTCCTGCTCCTTTAGGAAGGTGGTCCATAGAGTGCAAGGTTGTGGCCATGGCTACTCTGGCACTCGAAGGTTTGTGCAGAGGGTTTCCAGGAATTTGCTTCGGGGTTAGGGCTAATGACGTGCTCCAGACGGAGAGCAGACCTGAGTGGGTCCCCACTCTGTGCAGTTGCTTAGCAGCACCGAGCTCCACGCGATGGGAGAGCCTGCAGACTGCAAATGCAGGCATGCACATGGGCACAGGGCTGCCAGGCCCGGCTTGAAAGGAAACAGGTAGCAAACGCTAAGAAATCCTCCTGCTAGCAGGAGTCCCGGCCCCAGGACACTCACAAAGGGCTGTGCATGGGTTTGCTTTTTCCCTGGCTTGGTGAAAGCAGGGAAAAAGGATGGCTACATCCTTCCAGTTCTCCCCACTCCCCTCCCTCCAACCTTCAATGATCTGTGACCCATTTTCAAGGCAGCTCACAAAGTTCTATAGGATGATGTAACAGGGATCCAACAGGTTAGCAGTGGAAGGAGAAGGAACTTCTTGGATGCTGCTTTCTGGTTCTAGCTGGCCCACACTGGGGCTCTGAGCTCCCCAGGGCAGTATAGGAGCAGACATAGAGAGGCTTCCTGACCTGGGCAGAAGGGCTCACTGGCCCCTCAATCATAAATTAGAGCTGGGATGCCCTGCCCCCTCGTGGCCTGTGGGAGGCACGGGTTTTGACCTTGGATCCTTAGTTGTGAGCACACTCCTTTCTGAGTTTGATCACGTTCTGGATCATTACTTAGTCCTTCCACAGCTTTCTTCTCTCTCTCTCTCTCTTTTTTTTAAGCTGATGATTTTATTATTTATTATTTATTTATTTATTTATTTATTTTTTTTTAAGATTTTATTGATTTCTTTGACAGTGAGAGACACAGCGAGAGAGGGAACACAAGCAGGGGGAGTGGGAGAGGGAGAAGCAGGCTTCCCGGGGAGCCAGGGAACCTGATGCGGGGCTCGATTCCAGGACCCTGGAATCATGACCTGAGCTGAAGGTGGATGCCTAACGACTGAGCCACCTGGGCGCCCCCCACAGCTTTCTTCTGATTACGAAAGTAAATGTGCACTCATTGTGAAAATTAAAATACAAAGAAAACCCAAACTGGTTAGACGTTGATGTAACACCTTTCTGGATGGCCCTGTAGCCACTGATAGGACTTCTAAGCCCAAGCTAGCGTTATGGGTTATTGTTTCATATTATTTTTTAAACTTCCTTGAAGGTGGACCTTTTTTCCCTTCATCGCTTTTGTCATGTGATTTGGAAGCCCAGAGGGAGGGAATTGCAGGGTACCACTGGGTAGGCGGGAGTCCTGGGCCCCGTCCCTGCTTTGGCCCCTGAGAAACTCTGTCATCTTAGAGCTGTAGCTTAGCCTTTTGGAGCTTCTGCTATGCCTCTGTGATATAAGGACCCGGAAGAAATGGATGCTGAGATCCCTCTAGCTTCAAGCAACAGGGGCTTTATTTTTCCCATTTCTACTAAAACAGTACTAATTTTCCATCAGTCTGGGTCAGTAGTAATTACTTGCCGTCGCTGCGCCTGTGGGTCCCCCATAGCCCTGTCGCCGTCTCCAAATAGACCGTATGGCGAGCCGTCCTTGAACAGCACGCGTTCCGCTGCCCAGATGTGGGCCCATCCTTTGTCCCCTGTCCTCCGCAAGCTCACTAAGTGCTGTTGGATCGCGTGGCTCCTTTCCTCCAGAAACATCCACCTGTGTTTTCTCTCTCTCCTCAGACTTTACACATAGGAAGTTCCCACCTGGCTCCCCCAAATCCAGACAAGCAGTTTCTGATCTCTCCTCCCGCCTCGCCTCCAGTTGGTTGGAAACAAGTGGAAGATGCTACTCCCGTAATAAATTACGATCTGTTATATGCTATCTCCAAGCTGGGGCCAGGTAAGCTGTGCTCTGGGGCGGGAGCAGGGAAAGAGATGGGGAGAAATTGTACTCGGGGGCCAAGACCGGGATGCGCACCTGCCTCAGGGAGTGGCCAGAGCCTTGTGGCCCCTTTCGGCTGTCCTTCAATGGATGCAAGCAGGTTCTGTGAATTGTTCCTGTCTCCGTTCATCTGTGTCTGTAACTCAAGTTGTTGGGAGTGTACACACCTGCCTCTGTCCTTAGCCAGTCATGGGGACCAAGCACCATGACCCCTCGCGGCCGGCATCTTGCAAATCCTTCCCGTCACCAAGCACAGCCTGTGTGAGCAGCTCCAGACCCAGGCCCCAGGCCTGTCACCCCAGGATGAGCGATTGGACTTGGAAAGGGAAAACAGACCATCCCACACTTGAGAAACTTCATTTTTAGTCAAGGTGGTTTCGCCCATTGATCCGATTCTCACCTGCCCTTTTGAATGTTGAACAGAACCACAGAGTATAGTGAAGAAAGAGCCCCTGTCATGCATGCCCCGTCTTGGCCCCACTGGGGTGCTCACACCTTTTCAAATGCAGAGAAAGAAGAGGTTCCGGTCCTCTGATGCGAGGAACGTGTGAGTATGCAGAGAGAGATAACAGATACTCTGGCCTCAGTCGTCTTCTCTATACAATGGGTATTACCCAGTGGAGTTAATGAGCAGTAGAGGAGGTTGTGTAGAAAGCACCTCAGAAGTGCCTGGCCCACAAGCATTGCCCAATACAAGATTTCTGGAAACAATAAAATGTTGGTGGTTCCTGTCCTACCTGCTAGGGTTTGAGTGAGGGGCATGAAGTGGTTTGAGCCCACCCTCCTGCCCTATCTATAGAGCAACCATAATAAATGCTGAGACTATCAGCTCCTCATTTCTCCTTGCCCAGCAATCTGATGATGTTCCTTTGGCTGGAGTGTTTTATTTCTTGGACCCTCAGCAGTTTCATGTTGAAAAGATTATATTTCTGAACATACCGCCCCAGTGGAAATTCCCTCTGAGGGGGAGAGCAAGAATCACATTACTTACTGGTAATGGTGGCGTGAAGGTCAAGATGGCCAGTCTGAGGAAGCAGGTACCCCTCCCCGCAGCTCCTGGCTCAGGTGCATCAGCAGAGCTGAGGAGTGGGGTCTGCGGGGATGCTAGAGAAGAAATGGGACCTCCATCAGGGAGAGGTGACAAACTGCTCTAGAGGCAAGAAGTGCAGCTAAAGACAGTTCATCACACTCCAGAACCTACCACGCCTTTACAGAAGGCTGATCTGAGAAGCCTTTTCAGAAACTAGACATAATAAGATCCATTTACCCTTAGTTTCTCTCACAGTGAGCTGGAACAACATTCATATTTGGCTGTGCTTTGCAGCCAACAAGATTGCAAAGATTTTGCAAATATGGTCCTATGCAGAAGCTTGCTGCATTGTGGCCAGTTGGTAGGTAGATAAGGATCCTGACCAACGTGATCTTGTGACCCTCCACCTTCATTCCCTCCCCGACATTCCAAATTGAGAAACAACAACTACCTTTTTTCATGAGGAAAAGTGCCTTCCAGATTCCGAGGAGTCCCCAGAGTAGTGTGAGGCAGGAAGGTCTGGAATCCGGGCTGAGGAAGAGCACACAGAACTTGGAGGAAAACCCACCCCTGTACCCCTGGGGGGGAGGGGAGGAGCGAGCTGAAGCAAACCCTCCCCCCACCTGTTTAAATCCTAGCTTTCTACTGCACCCAGCTTCCCACCAGTAATGGTCCATGCTCTATTTGTAAACATTAGTAAAACTAGGTGACACTTACTGGGACTGCGACCTGGGCACCAGGACCTAAGAGCTTGGCTTGCACTTATGCAATCGGCTCAGTGAAGTCAGGGTCATCATGATCCCATTTTACAGAGGAGAGGAGATGGAGGTTCACAGGGATGTGAAGGAATGCGCCCACGGGCTCCAGGTACTGAATGGCGGGGCTCCTAGCCCACGTTTGGCTACCGCCTCCCTCAGCCCTGAAGAGGCAGCCAGAGCAGCGCCATAGATTGCTTCTCAGTTACTTCTAGAAGACTCATCCATCCCACCCTTGTTGCACCAGAGGGCCTTGAACTGGACTGAACCTGGTCAGACTCAGGCTGACCTAGAAATGCAGGACACTCCTGGCTCCCGGGGGTTCAAGTTGTCCAAAGCAAAGGGATGCTGTGGTCAAACATGTTTTGAGAGCCCCTGGTTCAAACCAGCCATAATTGTGTCCTCTCGTGGGGCCCCCGGTGTGTGCTGCCTCCACACAAGAGCCTTGAGAGGGAGGCTGGCGATGTCCCTTCCTACCATGTTTTATTCATGCACCATCTTCTCCTGAATGCACACTCCTCACACTGTGCTCGGGAGTCATCTGGGAATTTTAGGAGGCCTGGTGAGCATGTTAAGTGTAATTAAAAATGCACTCCTTGGGACACCTGACTGGCTCAGTCTGGTGGGTGTCTGACTCTGGCCCAGGTCATGATCTCAGGATCATGAGGTTGAGCCCCACGTTGGGCTCCGCACTGGGTGTAGAGCCTGCTTGGGATTCTCTCTCTCCCTCTGCCCCTCCCCCATATAAATAAGTAAGTAAATAAGATAAACTCCTTCCATACACCTCGATTCAGTGTTTGAAAGCAGAATAATATATAATGGTGATTATATGTGTGTGTGTGTGTGTGTGTGTATGTTTTTATATTATTCTTATGTTTATATATATACTTCTATATATAAATTTTTTTCTGCTAGAGCAAAAAAGGTATGCCAAAGAATACCCATCTATCCCTGCTGACCATCCAGAGAAGCTTGGCCGCGCAGACCCCTCCATGCTTCTTGCCTGAGTGACCCTGCATTTCTCTTCCTTCTCTAGGGGAAAAGTATGAATTGCACGCCGCGACTGACACCACTCCGAGCGTGGTGGTCCACGTGTGTGAGAGCGATCAGGAGAACGAAGACGACGACGAGATGGAACGAATGAAGAGACCCAAACCAAAAATCATCCAGACCCGAAGGCCAGAGTACACGCCCCTGCACTTAAGCTGAACTGGCACCCCCGGGGGGCAGAAGTATTCCGAATCACACTCGCGGGGAGGCATCTTGTACTGGGGAAGTGGCCGCTCACGACCTGGGAGGTGGCAGCCGTGATGGGCGGGGCAGACATTCCAGCGCGCCTGCTCAGAAGGGAACCCGGGCTCCGCCCCCTAGTTCTGATGCTCCGCCTCCGCCAGCGTTCCTGGCTTCCGGGAACGTCCTGGGCCAATCACTGAGCTCCGGGTGATCGCACAAGGACATTTGGGCCCAGCTCGATGCAAACTGATCACGATAGTGTTTCCTAATTGTCCTTCTCTGGTAGGTTCTGTGTTTGTCAAGGGCAGCTTCATCACCGGGTGTGGGGAGAGCCTTCTGAGGCTGACCAGCCTACGGGGTAGGCTCTCTCTACTGGGAGGAAGAGGCACCGCGAAGCCACAAAGTGGTGCGGAAACGTGAAAACGAGAACAACGCAAATGTGGGATTTGTAGTGTCTCATTCTTTTCCCCCCTCATGTTCTAATGTTTGTGCATGTATATTACTGATTTCCAAACTAACCTTTGTTCGTGTATAGAGTTACGCCATTGTTGTTTTGCATCTTTTGGGAAGACGGGAAAGCATTTGGAACATCTGTCACCTTTGCAGATTCATGACTGTCTTTGCAACAGCACTCACACGGGGCATCCCAGCTGGAATACATCCAGCCCGCCTCCTATCCGATGCCGCGTCTACCTTGTGCATTGGCAAAAGAAGTCGATCTGAAATTCCTATGTCGAGTTTTGCTTTATAAAATTCAGAGAATAGCAGTTTCACTGCCAACTTTTAGTGGGTGAGAAATTATAGTTTGGGTCTTTTGGGTCAGACATTGTTTCCATTTCCTTCTTTTACGTGGTGGTTTATACACATGAATCATAGTCCCCCCAAAAAAACTTTTGGGGGAGCTGTTGGTTGAGATAGTTGATTTTTTTTTCTTACCCCACTAAAACGTCACGATAAACTTGTAAATAAAGCTGATAGCATATATTCATACCCATTGTACACTTGGGTGAAAAATACGGCGGTGGAAGAATAGTGTCTGAATATTACCCTACCTGTGACTTGTATGTTGTAGAAAATGCTGTTAAATGTTGGACAGGACTTGAACTCAAAGCATGTGAAGTGGATAGTACATGTGTGGTGGAATGAAAGAGATGCAGTGCCTTCCCCATTAATTCCTGATGGAATCGTTACACTCGGTTAGTCTGTAATTTTTTTTTCTAGTTGTAATGCGTATGTCTGGTAAAGAGGTATTCTATTTTGGCCTTACAATACCATAGCAAAATTGGTCGTTTTGAAATACCTAATGCCAAGTAACAGTGCATGCTTTGGAAGTTTGGAAGGTGGTTTCCTTTTAAGAAGCAAATACATTTGATTGTTCCTGTCAAGAAATTGAATGTTCTCAAACCCCTGTTTACAGTACTTGGTGAGGTGGGGGGCAGGTGAGGGAGAGACCATTGCATAGCTGTTCAAATGTTCCTGGTTAAGTGCTTTTAAACTGGAGAGGCTAACCTCAAAATATTTTTTTTAACTGCAGTCTATAATAAATCAACACAATATGCTCTTTACGGAAAGGTTAATCTTTGTGCCCTTTTATTTCTGATTGACCGGTCTGTGAACTCTTTGAATCCTGCAGTCTCAAAAGACACATTCCTTCACCAGTTTCTGTTTAGAAACTCCTAATTCTTTGCTCTGGTTCACAGAGGGATAACCACACTAACCAGATACCACTTAGCAAAGGGGAAAATAGATAAAACTGAAATCGGGGGTCTGAGTATTTGCCTTGTGTAGGGAGATGATACTCTGACGAGAAGCCTACTCACCAACAAAACCAGCAGCTCCACTAAACAGCAATGTTTTTGATTGTTAATTTGAAGAGTCGTCTTTCCTGTTAGAAAAGATGTCCACAAAAGATACTGAATTACAAAGGCCAGTTATGTTCAGAAAAGTCTGTCTCTGAACCTTCTGTTTGAATCTCAAGCAGCCTTTTCCCTGGAGCACTGATGACACGAGGTGGTGAGCTTCCTGCCCCGGCCAGCCCACAAAAGCCAAAACAAGCCAGGGTTTCTTCACTGAACTCGAGAAAACGACATTAATCTCGATCAAGATTAACATGAGGCATTCTTCCGTGAAAATTCACATGCTCTTCTTTTTTTTCTCTTATGAAGAGCCTCATCTCATCACGTCCAGGAGAATTTCCATATCTTAAACCCATATACGTTTGAGGTTTAAACATTGTCAGAAAATCCACTTTTCAGTCTGGTGGGTGAATTGGATTATCGGGCAGATTCACTAATTGCCCACCTAGCAAGGGAGGGAGCTGTCCTTTATCATCACGTTGAGTAGCAAGGAGCCCACCGGGTGAGCACAGGTGGATGACACAGCGTGCCGGCCCAGGATCCTTTCTCATCAGTAACCCTGGGATAAAATCAGAACGTGGTGTCAGTTCACTCAGAATTCCAGTTGGTCCCCTCGTACACCTGGGAAAATACAAGCAGATGCAGATATGGTCCCACTGCCCATGAAGATGACAAAGCCTAGAGTAGAAATCACAAGTCACTGAACATCTTCACTCGTGAGGACGACGGCTGATTAGTCGTTCTGTGGCAGCCTCAGCTGGAATCCCGAAACCGTGCACTTGCCGCTTCCCAGGCTGGTGGATACCAAGGGCCCCAAATCATGAGCATGCTCAGGACTCATGCATCTGTTGGTCCTGCCCTGCTCATCAAAGGGCTCTGTAAAATGTGAAGCAACAGACACAAAACAGCCAGCACCAGGCAAAACATACCCTTTTGCCATTGATTGCGTTCCTTAAATAGATTTTGATAAATACACTTCTGATCTGGTGGGAACCAGCACAGAGTCATCCAAGAAAAGAATCCCGGCCCCCCTGAAATGGATGCTAAACCCAAGTGAAGGGTGGTAATCGATGGAGAAGTATTAACATTTCATGCAGCTATTAATACTTGGGTTAGGAAGATTGATTTGCAGTCAGCAAGTATTTAGGATTTTATATTTCCAGAATGCGAATGCAGTGTGAATTAGTGCCCATGGGAGATGTGGGTTTTCAGGGAGCCTCAGTTTTCAGTGAAATGTACAGAATTCACAACAAAGTAAACAGACAGATTTTCTCAAATATTAAATTGCAACAGATTCAATATACTGTACAGACATGTTATGGCCCAAAATGAATCAGAGCTGGGGTATGTCGTACTCTAAAATGTATGTCATAGGGTTGCAGAACCCTGTGGAATATTTGCCTCAATCTATTAAATGCCTATCATGCAATAGTCATCTAAAGGTCAACAAGTCAGATGGACACTATACATAATCTAAAAATTATTTAGGAAGAAGTTAGAACATACAGAAGAAATGTATTCTTTCTTCCCTAAATTCTCTGGTCTTCTGATTCTAAAGAAACGTAGGGGTTTTTTTTTTCAAGGTTGCCACCACACTTGGCCATCTTTAATTCACATCTGAAATTCCCATTCTTGTGACTCAGTGGAGTTACATGGCAATCAGGTAGATGGATTGTATCCTCCCATACCTTCTTTTCTTCAGCACTGCCTCTCTGCTGCTCAGGAAAGGTAACATGGCTGTGGTTCTGAAAGGCAGGATGAAATGATTTGAAAGTGATTGAACTGTGGTGTCTACATTCAATGTTTCTTTGTCTTTCAAGATTCCAGTTAGGGATTCAATGACCGTTCTCCAAGGCCAGTGAGAGGCAACCCATTGCTCTAACCACTGCCACAGCTCTGGCCTAGAGTACCATTGGGGGGAACCCCCTCCTGGCTGACATTCAAGCTCTGGTCACGTGGGATTCCCAGGGTTTCTAACTCACTCACTGTATTATCTCTTTGCTGTGCACCATCACACCTGCCCTCTGTGCCTAGACCATTATCACAGTGCCCCAGCCTGGCCTGGGCTAACTCCATAATGCTAGGCACCCCGTGAGAGCAGGCCCATGTCTTTCCTCTGAATCCCTGGCAGCTACCACTGGGCCCAGCCCGCGGCAACCGATAAATACTGCTGACATGATTAACTGACTCACTGATACTTATCCTACAGTTCTGCATCACTGATGTCTCTTTCCCCGAGAATCATTCCCAGCCACTCCTGCTGAGTCTCCCATTGTGTGCCATACTTTCCCTTTAGAATATGCATTGACTTTTTAGCATAACTATTAAATTGTCTTCCCTGTTAGAACCTAAGTCAAGTAGAGGCAGGATGTCTGGGAACCTGTGCCTCAGAATAGATATTCAACACAAGTTGGATGAGTGGATGGATGGATGGATGACTAGATGGATGGGTGGGTGGATGGATGGATGGGTGGATGGATAGATGGGTGGATGGATTGATGGATGGATGGATGGATGGATGGATGGATGGATGGATGGATGGGTGGATGGATAGATGGGTGGATGGATTGATGGATGGATGGATGGATGGATGGATGGATGGATGGATGGATGGATGGATGAGTGGATGGATGGATGGGTGGGTGGATGGATGGATGGATGGGTGGGTGGATGGATGGATGGGGATTTCAGATGTGGAGGAGTGAGAGGTCATTGAGAAAGAATAGGAAAATAATGAGGCATATTCTCTCCTAGTCAATAGAACCAATAATCAGCTCAGTGCTTTAATCCAACAAATTGCCAGGTTTCTGGAACAACAAGAACAAAAGAGGGAGAAAAGGAGACATAATTGTGTTGGGGTAGGGCAAAAGATGAGAAAAGAACAATTTTGCTTTTACATTTCTCTTCTCAGAGTGTTTGGCTAAAGGGTGAGTGGGAAGGGCAGGAAAGAACTTTCCAGATGATGGAAATGCTCTGTGCCTTGACTGAGCAACACCGTAGCTGTGGCAAGCGTGCATTTGCCCAAAACTCATCCAACTGCACACTTAACAGTGGGTGCATTTTGTTATATTAAAGTGCATCTCAATAAAGTTGGCTTAATTTTAAAAAAATCAGGATAAAGGAAAAAAATGTTCAAATCTCGTTCAATGGACAACAGTTGGGGGAAGGCCTCCATTCTCCATATCCCTAGCAAAAATCTTTTCCGAGTGTATAATGATTTAAAAACCTTTTTTTTTTTAAGATGTTATTTATTTATTTGACAGAGAGACAATGAGAGCAGGAACACAAGAAGGGGGAGCGGGAGAGGAAGAAGCAGGCTTCCCGCCAAGCAGGGAGCCCGATGCGGGGCTCGATCCCAGGACCCTGGGACCATGACCTAAGCCGAAAGCAGACACTTAACGACTGAGCCACCCAAGCGCCCCTGATTTAATAACATTCTTAAAACAATATTATACAGCAAGGCAAAGCAGCATCCCAAATTAAAGTGTGAACATTCTAATTCTAGAAGAACTCAGTGTGTCCATGGCAATTTGTTAATTTGAGAAATAAACTTAGGTCCTACTTACTTCCTTAAAGTTTAATGTATAGGATTAATGTTTTTATATGTTCAGAACCAACACATTGCTAAATCAGGAATAATACACACCCACATCTAATCAGTGGTAAATGGCATTGACTTTAGTGTGTCTTTAATATCAACCCATATTCTCATGAGACCTTGGGCAGCAGCGACATATCAGACTAGGAAATGCATTTTCAGTGATGCATTTGGAATGAATAAACTCTTGGAAAAAGAAAGAAAAACTCCACTTTTCTGCAAGGTCAGTTTCATTTTTGAAGCTTCTAAAACACTTTTCTTGCAAATTATGCAAAATGTGCATCATTCTTTTTCTCCTAGAAATAAAAAAAATTT